GAGGAAGAGGAGGAGGAGGAGGAGGAGGGGAGGAGGAGGAGGAGGAGAGGAGGAGGAGGGGATGGAGGAGAGATGATGGGAACTGTGGGTGGAGGAGGACAAGACGGAGGCAAGAAGAGAAGGATTGGAGGAGGAGGAGGAGGAGGAGGAGGAACCTCATTACCCTCGCCAACAAGCGCACGCACCTTCTTCTATATACAGAAACTCCCGATCAACCGCAGAGCGGCCGGCTAGTAATTTCCAGATGTCTAAAAGATGTTTCAAACATGTTTCAAATATGTTGAACATGTTTGAAACATGTTTAGAGCACGTTTTACACATTTGAAACACATCTTTTTCATTCCATGACAGGACTGTTCGAGTGTCCACTGTCGTGGCATCCACAACTCTAGGAGGCCTCTGCAAAACGAAACCATCCAGGCCTCGGAACAAATTAGCGAACACATGCCACATTCATCCGTCAACGCCTCCCCCTCCCCCCAATGTTCAAAGCTGGCCGTGGGTCTGATGAGATGAACTTCGACCGCAGCCTCTCCCGCGCGTGCCAACATTGAGTTTGGGGGGGAGGGGGAGTGTTCAGTAATTGCTTCCCTCCACCGTCTGGCGGTCGAAAGAGAAGCCGCCGATCGCTCAAGGGCCGAGCGGCCCCACGCGGCGTCGGCAGCCGACGCCCGGGGCAGCCGCGGTTCGCGAGAGCCGGCCGCACGCGGCGCGGCGCGCAGGGCGCGGGCGGTCCAGCGGGTGTCCCGGAGCTCCGCCGCGGCGCGGGGCTGCTGAAAATCCCGGCGCTCGTCCTCGATGCCGTCGGAGGTTGCTCGACCTCCTGCTCTGTCGGGGGCGGCAACGAGGGGGGGGGGTGACTCGGGGGGGGGGGTGGATCTCATGGCGGGGGCCATGGTATCTCCCCAGATCTCGTGGCGCCTCTTCTTGTTGCAACACGTCCCCGGCCCCCCCGCTGGGCCGCGCACATGCCGCCGGCCATGACTTGCACCCCCCCCTCTTGGACGCCCCCCTCTTTGCCGCCCCCGACTCTGACACGTCGATTACAGTGGGGGCGCGCATCAAGAAGCCATGTGCTTTTCGCCAGGGTGTCCTGGGTGTTTTTCGCTCCTCGCGCTGCGCGGGGGCTTGCCGCAGCCGTTGAAGGAGCCGCTGCGTCCAGGGTGCTCCAGGTTTCCCCTCAGGGGCACCTCGCGCACGGGTTTTCAGGGTTGGGTTTCTTGCGAGGGTTTCTTGCGGCCGCGCCCGCACTGTAGGGAATTGGCCGTTCGCGGTTCGCGAGAGGGCGTCCCGGCCGTCATTCTTGCGGGTCCAGGTCCGTCGGTTTCGGCCATATTACGCCGTTTTCACCAGAAAGGGTGGTTTGCGAAAGGGAGGGTTGTCCACCGCCGATCCCAGCGCTCTTCCTTGATTCCGGCCTTAGTTGCCTCGATACGCGCGTTTTGAAACGCAGCACGTCCCGTGTTCAAGACGTCCGTGTCAATACCTTGCGTCTTGGCTCCACGTATTGGACCACGTTTTGGCGACTGTACCGCGTCGGACCCACGTCTTCAGCCTACGTGTTGAGCTCCGTATCGATACGGCACGTGTTGCGTGTTGCGCATCGGGGCAGCTGAGATTCCGGCCGCTCCAGTGGAGCGGTGACCGCACCGTGTACCGTTCTGGACGCCCGAAATGGGTGCGGAAAGAATGGGTACAATGCCCAACAGCGGATCTTGTTCATTTTGAACAGGACTCGCTGTCCACGCCGCCGCGGCCTGTGTCCATTCGAGAAAGAAGACCGCCTGCCCCACGGCGGCCGCTGTTGGTTTGGGACAACATCTGTCGTTGGGCATTGTACCCATGTTTTCCGTACCCATTTCGGGCGTGGAGGAGGAGGAGGAGGAGGAGGAGGAGGAGGAGGAGGAGGGGGGAGGAGGAGGAGGAGGAGGAGGAGGGGAGGAGGAGGGGAGGAAGGAGGAGGAGGAGACGAGGGTGGTGTTCCTGAGTCAGATTGCCACCGGGGGGCCGCCGCGCGGGCTTGTGGGAGAGGCGTCATGTCAGAATAGGCCGCCTCGGGCGGCCCAGGGCCTCTGCCGCGCCCCGGAGCCGGGCGGCGACGGGCCGTGCGGCGAGGTCTCGGGGGGCGTCGAGGCCTCACCGCCGGGCCTGCCGCCGGCCCAGACTTTTTTGGGTCGGCGGGGCGAGGGCGAGCCTCGTCCGCGAAAAGCTGGGCGGGCGACGCACAGCTCGAATTGGGGAGACAGGGCACAGGCGGGCGGGGCCTCAGGCGGCCGGAGAGGGCGGGGCCCGGGGTGCTCGCCAGCCCAGACAGGCGACGTCCTGAGTTTTTTTCGGGGCGGCGCCCCTGGAAGGCTCGACCCCTTCCCCAGGACCGGTTTTTCCTCCCGGGTCGCTTTTGGACGGTCCCGAGGTCCGGTACGGGCCCTCAGAGGCCGAGAATAGCGAAAAGCCTCCCGTCCCGACCCGATTTTTTTCACGACGCGATCATGTGTCTGGGACACGGCTCTGGGGCCCCCCACCTGCGGGTCCCGTGAGAGGAGGGCCAGCACAGAAAAGTCCCACCCGGGGCAGAGACCTTGCGTTCAGGAGAGGAAAAACACACACAGACACAAGTAATCGCCGATCCCCCAGAAAATATCGAGTTAATGTGGGAAGTGGGGGGGAAGACAGAAACCCAGGAAAAATATGGGGAAATATGGGAAGTCCTGTTCTTCGTGTGTGTATTTCTTTGTGTGTCCTGGGGCCCCTTCGCTTGCGGCCCGCACGTTGAGAGCAGGGCGGCGCCGGCCGAGGCGAGCCGGCCCTCGCTGGCGGAGGGCCGCGGCCCGCCCAGGGCCCGCGCGGCCCGGCGCGGTGCCGAAGCCGCCGCGGCGCGCGAGCGCGCGCGAGTCTGCCGCGCGTCTCGGGCGCTGAGCGCCTGTGGGTCGGGGCGTCCGCCCCCCCCCCCCGAGGGGCTCGGGGCCCACCACGCGTGGGCTGCGTGGCCCCTCAGGGGCGCAGGCATCGCCACCCTCCTCCTCCTCCTCCTCGTCGTCGTCCTCCTCCTCCTCCTCCTCCTCCTCCTCCTTTTTCTCATGCTCCTCCCTTCTCCTCCGCCGTTCCTGTCCTCCTCCTTCCGCTCCTCCTCCCCCCTCATGGCGCCTCCTCCGCCATCCTTTCCCCTTCCTTGGGATATTCCTCCTGGTTCTGGCGCTCCTCGTTCCGCCTCCTCCTGCTCCTCCTCCCGCCGTGCCTTCCTGCTTCTGATCCTCCTCATCCTTCCACCCATTACAACTGCTTCTTCTCTCGCTCCATCGCCGCCTCCCTGTCAGGAGGAGGGAAGCGATACACCAAGAGGAGGAGGAGGAGGAGGAGGAGGAGGAGGAGGAGGAGGAGGAGGAGGAGGAGGAGGAGGAGGAGGAGGAGGAGGAGGAGGAGGAGGAGAGCAGGAGGAGGAGAGCAGGAGGAGGAGGAGGAGGAGGAGGAGGAGGAGGAGGAGGAGGAGGAGCAGCAGCAGCAGCAGCAGCAGCAGCAGCATGCAAAGGACGGGGGGGAGACAGTAGAAGGAGGATGACAAGAAGGAAGCCGATCGGAGGCGGGGAAAGAGGAGGATGAGTAGGTGGAAAGAGAGAGGGGAGGGTGGCGGGATGAGAGTGGGATGACGAGAAGGAGCGCGATAGGAGAAGGAGGATGAAAAAGGAGAAATGCGGTCGGCGGGAAGAGGAGGAAGAGGATGAGGAAGGGCGGGAGGAGGAGGCGGAGGAGGCCGAGGAGGGTGAGGAAGACGACGACGACGAGGCGCAAAGGTGGACCAGCGCTCGGATTGGGTCCAGCCCGATTGTCTTCGGAGCTGCCTGCTGCACTATGCAGCGGAGCTCATCTCTGCCAATTCTCGCACCAGCTGGGCTAGCGGGATCGGCGGCTTCAAAACAAGTGGCGAGTTCGCGGAACATTTCGGATGCCTTCCTTCCCGAGCGCGCTGCAGCGCACGGCGCTTTGTAGGCGGGCGATCTGGGCAGTTTCCATGAAAACCTCGGGCCCCCTCTGTAAGCGAACCGCACTTCCAGCACAAAACTAGACTCGAGGGTCTATCGTCTAGGTGCCCGAATACATAATTACGGGTTGTGGCCTCGTGGATTGGCCAGCAGCTCGTAGTGGTGGGCACCACCGCCAGGGCATTGCTCCTGGACCGCGCCGCTTCAGACCGTGGCCACTAGCACACCTCCTGCCCACAAACAGTGCAGAGCCACCCTCTGCCCCACTTCTGCCACCAGTGCGCCCGCCTGGCTGTCTCCAGGCGCGTCCCCGGGAGGCGCAGGGGGGCGGAGGAAGAGGGATCGGAGGCGGAGGTGGTTCGATCTCCCAGGCGGGCAGCACTGCGGCCGCCCCGCGGGCGGGTTCGAACTCTTGGCTGGCTTGGTAAGGCCTCTGGATCCAGCCTTCGGTGCAGCCGTAGGCCAGAGCTGAAGGGCGTCGGCACCATATCTGAGCTATTTCTTTACAGTGGCCACCTGCGCGGCCTGCTGTTCCGACTCGTTGGTGCTCAATTGTGGCCCCCGGGCGGCGGCAGTCTTGGCAGATTGATCAGCGGCTTCGTTGCCTTTGGCACGTCGCCACTCCTCCCTGCCCCGGGTCAGGGTGTCAATATCTACATGCGCCTTGATTTTGTGGAGCTTGGGACCAATGAGCGCCTGGCTGGCCCCCACCAGAATCTGAAAGGCCCCGTAAACATCGGACCGAGACAATTTGCTTTTCTGGTGGACGCCTATGGCGCCGTTGCAGTCCACAAGCCTCTGGGCGTGTGTCGAAGCGCTGAGGGCAGCAGCGAGCAAGCACGGCACGGTGCTCGGCAGCGGGGGAGGTCGAAGGGAGGAGGTTGCCCACACGCCCTGGCATGTAGGCGGCAGCTTTTCCACGGCCGTCTGCGACCACTGCAGCCCAGCCCGCAAGCTCATCCCACTTGGCAGCTCCTGATGTGTAAGGGGGGAGGGGGTGAGGCGGGGGGCCCAGCATCGAAGGACTTCATCAAGAACCTGCTCCAGAACGTTCGCGCGGCCTGCCCCATCGAGCCGCTCGTGGTCGAGGCGAGGGCGCGGCGCACTCGCGGCAGGGGAGGGGTAAACGTAATGAGGAGAAGGGGGAGGAGGAGGAGGAGGAGGAGGAGGAGGAGGAGGAGGAGGAGGAGGAGGAGGAGGAGGAGGAGGAGGAGGAGGAAGTAGGAGGAGTCTGTAAGGCGGAGGCGGAGGCTGGAGGAGGAGAGGTGAGGAGGGAGGAGGAGGAGGAATGAGGCGTGGAAGGGAGGAAGGAGGAGGAGGAGGAGGAGCGACCAGGGAGGAGGAGGAGGAGGAGGAGGAGGAGGAGGAGGCGGAGGAGGAGGATGAGGAGGAGGAGGAGGAGGGAGGGAAGGAGCAGGAGGAGGAGGAGGAGGAGGAGCGAGGAGGAGGAGGAGGAGGAGGAAGGAGAGGGAGGAGGAGGGAGGAGGAGGAGGAGGGGGAGGAGGAGAGGGGGAGGAGGAGGAGGAGGAGGAGGAGGGAGGGGGGAAAGGAGGAGGGAGGGAGGAGGAGGAGGAGGAGGAGGAGGAGGAGGAGGATTGGTGGGGGGAGGAGGAGGAGAGGAGGAGGAGAAGGAGGAGGAGGAGGAGGGAGGAGGAGGAGGGAGGAGGAGGGAGGAGGAGGCGGCAGGAGGAGGAGGAGGAGGAGACGGAGGAGGAGGAGTGGAAGAGGATGAGGATGAGGAGGAGGAGGAGGAGGAGGAGGAGGCGGAGGATGAGGGAGGGGAGGAGGGGTGGGAGAGGAGGAGCAGAGGAGGAGGAGGGAGGAGGAGGAGGAGGAGGCGGGGATGATGATGATGAGGAGGAGGAGGAGGAAGAGGAGGAGAAGGAGGAGGAGGAGGACCAGTGTCAACCCACGGCCCATCAGCTTCATTTTGAAAGCGACCCGCCCTCCATCCGTGAAGCTGGTAGAAATCCTTACCTTAAAGGATCATAGATGGTGAGGAAGTCTCAGGCGAAACGCCCGGCCCACCGTACTGACACGTCTCGGGGTGCGACAGGGAGGAGTTATTTTTAAGGACAAGGACAGGAGGAGGAGGAAGAGGAGGAGGAAGAGGACGAGGGGAGGAGGAGGAGGAGGAGGAGGAGGAGGAGGAGCGAGAACCAGGAGGGAGCGAGAACCAGGAGGAGGGAGAACCAGGAGGAGGAGAACCAGGAGGATAAGGAAGAGGAGGAAGAAGAGGAGGAGGAGGAGGGGGGGACGAGGTAGGAAGGGGGACGAGGAGGAGGCGGACGAGGAGGAAATTTTCATCCGATGGCGCGAACGCATCCAGACTTCAACCCGCTTTCGCCCGCGGCAGATCGCGAGTCAGAAGACCGAGGAGTAGCAAGCGCCCGAATCCGGAGGAGGAGGAGGAGGAGGAGGAGTAGGAGGAGGCGGAGGCGGAGGCGGAAGGAGGAGGAGGAGGAGGAGGAGGGGGAGGAGGAGGAGGGGGAGGAGGAGGGGGGAGGGGGAGGAGGGGAAAGGAGGACGAGGAAGGAGGAGGAGGAGGAGGAGGAGGAGGAGGAGAGGAGAGGGCGGAGGAGGAGGAGGAGGAGGAGGAAGAGGAGGAGGAGGATGGAGGGGAGGAGGAAGAGGAGGAGGAGGAGGAGGAGACCCGCGGCGCGGTGCGCGCCCGACACTGGGGGCAACCCCGTGCATGGAAGGACGCCCCCTCTGCCCCCTCTGCCCCTCTGCCCCCTTGTCTCGTCCCCCCTCCGCCCGACACTGGGGGCGCCCCCTCTGCCCCCTTGTCTCGTCCCCCCTCCGGCGGCCGCGCTCGGCCCCCCCCCTTCCCTGGGCCCCTCTCGCTTCTCCGAAGGGGGGGGGGGGGGCTTTGTCGGCCTTTCAGTGTTTTTTGGGTGGCCCTTTTTTCTTTCCTCCCGCCTTACTCCTTCGCGCGTCGGCTCGGGCCCCTGTCGCCCTCCCCCCCTCGCCTTTTGCTTCTCGTCTGCCTCCGTCGCCGCCGCCAGGCACTGCAGCGTGTATGTAGCTACCAAATGTTTCAACCCCCTCTCAGGAGCAACGGCCCTGGAGGGGAGGCCGCGTTCGACGAGCCCTCGGGCCATCGGGAACCAGGGCCCCGGAGGAGGAGGAGGAGAAGGAAGAGGAGGAGGAGGAGGAGAAGAAGGAGGAGGAAGAGGAGGAAGAGGAGGAGGAGGAGGAGGAGGAGAAGAAGGAGGAGGAGGAGGAGAAGAAGGAGGAGGAAGAGGAGGAGGAGGTTGAGGAAGGAGAGAGGGCGAGAGGGAGGATGTTGGAGGAGGATCAAGTCAGCCAGGTCGATCGAGTCAGCGAGCCCCGCCCATGTGCACCCCTCCCTCCCATGGCATAGTAATCAGTTGCGGCGCCACCTGGGCTTGGGGCGCGTTCCCATGTAACGATCGGACGGCGCTCGCGCGCGGTTCTGCGTCCGTCGACATAGCATCTGGACAACTAGACGGGCCGCGCAGGGACGAGAACGGTAGCGCTTCCGATGAGCGCGGCGACGACGAAGCATGCGCCGTGCCGAAACAACTTTCACTCACAAGCTACCCGGCGCTTGTGCGAGGCCAGCGCTTCACCCGCTCTCGCGCGGCCCCGCGGCCGTTGCCGTTTAAATGTTGCCGCTTAAATGCGGTTCGGCGAATAAATAATGCGCCGCCTCCATTTCCCATCAAATGTGCGCGGGGCTTGGGCGAGGGCAAAATATCACCCGTTCGCGCGGGGGCCCCAAACCAGGCGAATCATACATTTGCGCCGCGCCGAGGCGGGAACGCCATGTTCAATTGAAACAGCACGCGAACATGCACTGCACAATTCAGCAACGTACGTAGCTCTGCCAAACGAGGTTCGGTGACTTCATCATGCGCTGCTCCCCGATGAATATAGTGGCTGGAGCACACCCAGGCAGGAGCCAATACACAAGCCGCGCTGTACTGCGCAAGCGCTGGTCACGCCGCTCGCGTTCAGCACGGGAACAGCCCGCCGCAGCAGGGCCCGCCGTCATGCCACGAGTGGTTGCGGGTGGTGTGGAGGCACCTCGAGAAAGCGCTGGCCAACTCGCCAGGAACAAGTTGAAAATGAGGATAATGATGAGGAGGTGGAGGGAGGAGGTGGAGGAGGAGTGGCAGGGAGGGGAGGAGGAGGGAGGAGCAGGGAGGGAGGAGGGAGACAGACGATGAGAGGGCAGGCCTCTCATCCTCCTCCTGTTCCCTGTCGCACTCCGAGGCCAGTTTTTAGGGCGGGCCGGGCGTTTCGCCTGAGTCCGGGCGTTTCGCCTGAGACTTTCTACCATGTATGACCCTGGAGCTTAAAATAAACCACATGACAACAGCTTCACGTATTGAGGGCGGGGGGTTTTCAAAACGTAGTTCTCGCCTTAGCGCCGCGCACATTCGTTTTCAAAATTTGCAAGGGCTTCACGGAATGAGGGCGGGTGGTTTTCAAAGTGTGGTTCTAGCCTGAGCGCCGCGCACATTCGTTTTAAAGAATTACAAGAGTTCCACGGATTGAGGGCGGGTGGTTTTCAACATGTGGCTCTCGCCTGAGCCCCGCGCACATTCGTTTTGACTAGTTGCAACAAGCTTCACGGATTGAGGGCGGGTGGTTTTCAAAATTTGGCTCTCGCCTGAGCGCCGCGTAGATTCGTTTAAACATTTGCAATGGTTTCACGGATTGAGGGCGGTTCCTTTTCAGCATGTGGTTTTCGTTTCAGCGCCGCGCACCTTCGCTTTAAATATTTGCGTATTTGCAAGAGCTTCACGGATTTTGATGATCAGCGTGCCAAACATGGTTTTTGGGGAAGGATTCGGTATTATGAGGGCGCAACAGTTACGTTGATTTGCTGTGTTGAAGTCTCACGAATGGTGTTCTGGCGCGGTTTGAAATCGTCAAGACGTAATAGTCAGGTTGACCCGTGGCGCTGGCATCCCGAGAATATTGTTCTGGCATGTTTCAGGGTCTTCAGACGGTTGTCTTCCAACGAGTCAGTTCTTTCAGTGGAAATGAACCGTTGTACGGGCCTATGAAGATGGAGTTTGGAGGGTGGGTTTATTCCAACACCGTTGATGGATCTTGGGTTTCCACTGGTCCTCCTCCTCCTCCTCCTACTCCTATCCTTATTCCTGATTAGAATATACTCCTACTCCCCCCTCAGGCCGGCAGATAGCGGGCGCATCCGGGTGGTCCCATCCTAACTTGTAAAAAAAAACAATACAACATCAACATTTTTCTTATTTTTTCCTCTCGACATGGACGTCCTGTCGTCCACGGCGATAATCCATTGCAAAAAATACCACAAAGAGCACACGCGCGCGTTCATGTCAGAATCCTACCGAACACCGTGTCTTTGCAAGCATTTCAACATAAAAACATCAAAAACCCAATGCTTTTTCACAAAAAATGTACAAATTTCCCGCCCGGGCTCTCTTGCTGAAATCATAGGAAAACCATAGGAATCTTAAGAATTCGGTCGAATCCAGCGATTTCACGTCATCGCGCGGTGCACTCGCGATGCTCTGTCATGCACCCAGGCCGCGAATCCTGTGCAAAAAAATACCACAAAGAGCACACTCGCGCGTTCATGTCAGAATCCTACCGAACACCGTGTGTTTGCAAGCATTTCAACATAAAAACATCAAAAACCCAATGTTTTTTTCACAAAAATGCTTTGGGGTGTCCTGTCAGACCGTCGGGCTTCCTTCGGCCACCTCTGGCTTCCTGCGGTGTACCGGGCCATTCTCGACTCGTCTGGCAATGCGTGCGCGGCATTCAACACGCGCTCGCCAGTTCCCGTCGGCAACCGCCATCGCGGCCGCATCAGATGTACCAAACCGGCTGGCCGGTGTGACTTCGGCCCCCAGTTGTGCCAGCTTTGCTTCTTATGTTGTGGGAGGGCGGGCGGGACTGGGCATGCCATGCTTGACTCGCTCGAGCTGGCTAGCTTGACTCCTACTCCTACTCCTACTCCTACTCCTCCTCCTCCTACTCTTCCTCCTCATAATCCATCCCTTGCCCTCATGAATAACTTTTGTGTGTAGCACACCGTGTGTTTTGACAGTGCGAGCAGGGCGTTTCGCCTGAAGCGTCTTCACCCCTTGTAGCCCTGAACTTTGCAACAGCTTCACGGGTGGAGGGGGATGGTTATGAACATGTTTTGTTTCGCCTCAGCGTCGAGGACATCTGTCTTACAATTTCAAGCAGGTTCACAGATGGAGGGGTGTTTTTTTCAAAATGTACTTCCTCTTGGCGCCGCGTATCTTCGTCTTTGCAGCAGCTGCAAGGATTGATGGGGTCCGTCTTCAAAATGGAGCACTCGCCTTAGCGCCGCGCGCAGTCGTTTTGAATGATTACAACACGTACAAGGATTGTGGCCGGTTCCTTCTCAAAGTGGGGCGCCCGCATGAGCCTTAAATGCAAAGACAATCTGAACATGTGCAACAGTTGCGCTGATGAAAGGTGGCTCCTTTTCGACATTGGGAGTTCGCTTGGGACCTCTGTTGATGTGAAGGCCAGAAACTTTACCATATGCAACAACGCTGCACGGATTGAGGGCGGTTCCGTTTCAAATTGGGGTTTTCGATTGAGATCTTTTCGACGCGACAACGTGTACAATAATTGCACAGGGGGGCGATCCTTTTTCACAAGGGGCGTCTCGCTGGACACTTCTTTGATTTACATGGTTCTATCTTTGCACGTTCGTTCTTATTCCCTGGAAGGACTCGAGGCAGTTTTTGTGTTTTTGTCCATGGAAAGGGGCTCTCACGTGAATGGCAGGCTCATGTGAAGCTTGCCTTTCGAAGGGGCGCCACTTGAAGCGTGAAGGAAGGTTTGTACGGACTTACGAGGAGGGGACTTGGAACGGGAAGGCTTATTGCAGCAGCATTGATACATCCCCCGTTCACTCAGGTCCCCCCCTCCTCCTCCACCTCCTCCTCCTCCTCCTTCTCCTCCTCCTCCTCCTCCTTTTCTGCTGCTCCGTCGAACAGCCGTTTTGTACACTCTACGAGCTGTCTCGGCACTTGCGCGAAACCCACGCCCCACGGGAGCCTCTCTACTCGACGGTTCGGACGCGCTCTGATGTACCGCCTTCCCGACGAGGCCTCGCGGGAGGCAGGGACTCGTTCTCGTTCAACCCAGCGAGGAGGTTCTCAGCCGAGAGGGCGGGCAGGCCGTTCTGGCTCGGCAGCCGCTTCCCGCAGGCGTGGCGAGGGACGCGGTGCCAGACGCAGCGCCGAGCCTCGAGGCGCCCAGCAGCGCGGACAGGCGTCGGCAGGAGGAGCGGTGGCGGCTCAGCTCGGCAGGGCCTACGGCCTGGAGGCCGACGTGTTCAACAAGTGGCCGCCGATGGACCTTCAGACGATCGCCAAGATACTCCCCATCCTGATTCCTGGCGCGCTGGCAAACTCGCACCAGATTCGGGCTCTGAACGCAGCGGATTCTCAAACCTTTCTGTTCGACGAGAACGCCGAGATTGTGCATCAAGGACTGGCAGTAGGCAGGGCCTGCGCGAAGCAAGCGGCGGCCATGAGGGAGGAACACGCCAAGGATCAGGCAAAGCCACTTCCCGAGGTAGCCAAGGGGTCGGCTTGCGTTCAAGTCTTTCTCATCGCGTGCAAAGCAATCGTGAAGGCAGGCGTGGCGGTCGGGGCGGTCAACCAACAAAAGTGGCAGGAGCAGCAGCTGAGGCTGGACGGCATCACGAATCTTACGGAGTTCGGTCTCGCTGTGTGTCCAGCGGCCATGCCTACTCCGATTGCCAGGGGGAGGCCGATGGCTGGGTCGACATCGGGCCTGGCAGCCGCAGACCCCCTCCGCCTAGGCGGTTCCTAAGGGATTGAAGGAGGGGAGCGTCTCGGGGGCCAGGCCACAGCTGCGTCGGGGACCTTGCCTTTGTCTATTGCCACGAGGAAGTCAATTGCTGGGTCGTCATCGGGCCTGGCAATCGCAGACCCCCTCCGCCTCGGCGGTTCCCAAGGGATTAAAGGAGGGGAGCGTCTCGGGGGCCAGGCCAGGGCTTCGACGGGGACCTTGCCTCGGACGATTGCCAAGAGTGGATCGGCGACCGTGTCGTCTCCGATTGCCGCGAGTGGATCGGCGGCCCTGGCTACTTCGATTGCCACGAGTGGCTCGGCGGACTTGGCTACTTCGATTGCCACGAGTGGATCGGCGAATCGGTCGTCTCCGATTGCTGCGAGTGAATCGGTGGCCTTGCCTTCTCCGATTGCCTCGAGGGCCTCGGCGACGCGCACTGAGGGGGAGTGCGACCTCGAGGCGCGTGCTGCTGCTGTCTCTCGCCCGTCAGTTCCCCCTCCTCCTCCGAGACCTCCTCTTCCTCCTCCTCCTGCCAGACAGTACAGTTTTAAGGAGCTTGTGCGAGTTGCCACACGTTTTTGAACCCGGTTTCCGCTTTGCCGCTCGGCCCTGGTGTCCCAAACTTAGTGCGCCTCGCTTTTGCAATCGTGGTTGAGCGATGACAAATCGGGGCTCCCACCCGAGTGGGTGGCCGTTCTCGAATCGTCCCCGCATGGGGCACGCACGGTAGGTCGCAATCCCTCGAGATGCTTTCGGAGGATTGATTTAAGTCGAATTCTGTCGACCTTCGGCCCGACACCGCTCCGCCGCCGCCGCGCCTCCTCCTCCTCCTCCTCCTCCTCCTCCCCTCCTCCTCCTGCTCCTCCTCCTCCTCCTCCTCCTCCTCCTCCTCCTCCTCCTCCTCCCCCTCCTCCCCCATCCCTCCCATTCGCCGGATGATGATTCGGGCCACCTCGGGCACTTGATGCTTCGCCTGTCAGCTGCCGCGCACTGAGAGAAGACGGCACGACTCCCCGTGGCCGCCGCCGGAGGTCGAGAAGCGGAACCGCCTGCGCGTGCTGCTGCCGTGCCCGCCCCGGCACGCCACGGCCAGCCGCATGGCTCCCAGAGGGCATCGCGGGGCTGTACTGGCACCTGGTGTCGGGCCTGTCCCTCTACAGGGGGAGTGTTCAAACATAGTACAAAAACAGCCTTGGGACGATTCTTCTACTATTTTTTTTGTGTTGCCAATTTTAACTTTTCGTCCAAATCTCCTGTAGGAGGGCATGCCCGACCTAAACCTGGTGGCAGGGGGAGGGGCAGGGTGGAGGGGAATGGGGGCCGGGGGGATGGGAGAGGAGGGATAGGGGGAATGGGGGCAGGGTAGGGAGCGGGGCGGTAGGGAGGAGGGAGGAGCTATGTAGGACGAGGACAGGAGGAGGGATGGGATTGGGAATGGGCTGTTATCGCCGACGAAGGCAGACAAATGCAACGCCCCACCTCCATTCAAAACTCCTCCGGGACCGAGGCGGTGGGGAATCTGAGCGGGGCTACGAGCTGTTCTTACGGAGCGCCTCCTGCCGAGCAGGTTCCTCCACGCAGACGACGCGTAGTTGGCGATGCGCAACATTTGCCCCAGCTGTGTTCACAGTCGCCAGGAGATGGCCAGCGCCTTTCACCAGGAGAAGCGGGTAAACCTTGAAGACAATGATGAACAAGAGCAAGGCTGCTAGCACAGCAACACTCTATGACTGGCATCTCCTGCCCAAAGACGTCATTTACAAGCGACATGGTCAAGGCCACATGTCCAAGTGCCAGGAACTCTGTCCAACGCCCAAAATCTACAAGGAGCGTCTTCAAAGAAAAGCGCCACGATGCACAACTTCACAGAAAGCAGCGATGTGATCATGGCACGCTAGAGTAGCTTGCACCTGGGCCGACGCTGCAGGTGCAGACACGCCGAGGGGCGGCGCCGTGCTCCTCTCCCGGCGAGCCTCGCGAAGGACCCCAGTCATCTGCAGCTGTGAGTGCCGCAGCTGTGAGAGTCGCTATCGGCGGGAGACCCCCGGGGCCACGAGGCGTGTTAGGGTGTGTGTGTGTGTGTGTGTGCCGCGTCGGGTACGGGGAGGCCATGCGGACTGTGCCCCTGGGGCCTTCGGTGGAGCTCCCTGTGGAGCCACGAAGTATACCGATCCGGGGGTGGGCATGCCATGCGGCCTGGGCCACTGGGGCCCTCAGTGGAGCTCCCTATGGGGCCACGAAGCGTGTCAGGGGTGTGCCGAGTCGGGTGCGGGTACGCCGTGCGGGCCGTGCCGCTGGGGCCTTCGGTGGAGCTCGCTATGGGGCCGCGAAGCGTGTGAGGAGTGGGGCGCCTCCGGTCGAGCTCCTTCTAGGGCCACGAGGCGTGTGAGGAGTGTGCCAAATCGGGCGCGGGCACGCCATGCGGACTGTGCCGCTGGGGCCCCGAGTGGAGCTGCTGGTGGGGCCACGAGGCGTGCGAGGAGTGTGCCAAATCGGGTGCGCCACGCCATGCGGACTGTGCCATTGGGGCATTCGGTGGAGCTCCCCTTGGGGCCATGAAGCGTGTGGTGTGTGTGTGTGTGACAAATCGGGTGCGGGTACGCTATGCATGCCACTTAGGCCTTCGGTGGAACTCTCGACGGAGCCACGAAGCGTGTGAGGGGGTGCGCCGAATCGGGTGCGGGTACGCAATGCGGACTGTGCCACTGGGGCCTTCGGTGGAGCTCCTTCTGGGGCCATGCAGCGTGTGGGGGGGTGTGCCATACCGGGTGCGGGTACGCCGTTTCTGGGGCCATGCAGCGTGTGGGGGGGTGTGCCATACCGGGTGCGGGTACGCCGTGCGGACTGTGCCGCTGGGGCCTTACGCCATGCGGACTGTGCATTGGGGCCTTCGATGGTGCTCCCTATGGGGCCACGAAGCGCGTGTGTGTGTGTGTGTGTGTGTGTGTGTTTGTGTGTGCGCGTGTGTGTGTGTGTTTGTGTGTGTGTGTGTGCGCGTGTGTGTGTGTGTCGAATCGGGTGCGGGTACGCCATGCGGACTGTACCATTGGGGCCTTCGGGGGAACTCCTTATGGGGCCGCGAAGCGTGTGAGGAGTGTGCCGTGTGGGGTGCGGGTACGCCATGCTGATTTTGCCATTGGGGCTTTCGGTGGAGCTCCCTATGGCGAGCCGACTTCGGTTAGGGTGCGCCATGCGGACTGCCATTGGATTCTTCGGTGGTGCTCCCTATGGGGCCACGAATCGTGTTAGGGGTGTGCCTAATTGGATGCGGGTATGCCGTGCGGACTGTGCCATTGGTGTCTTCGGTGAAGCTGTCTATGGGGCCAGGAAGCGTGCGGTGTGGGTGTGTGTGTGTGTGTGTGTGTGCCGAACCGAGTGCGGGTACGCCATGCGGACTCTGCCACTGGGGTTTTCGGTGGAGCTCCCTACGAGGCCACAAAGCGTGTGAAAGCTGTGCCGAATCGACTGCGGGTACGACATGCGGACTGTGCCGCTGGGGCCTTCGCTGGTGGTCCCTATGGGGCCACAAAGCGTGTGGTGTGTGTGTGTGTGTGTGACAAATCGGCTGTGCCACTGGGGTCAGTGGAACCCCCTATGGGGCCACGAAACGCGTTTGTGTGTGTGCGCCATGCGGACTGTGCCTCTGGGGGCTTCGGTGGAACTCAATATGGGGACAGGAAGCGTGTAAGGGGGGTGCCAAATCGGGTGCGGGTACGCCATGCGGACTGCCACTGGGGCTTTCGGTGGAGCTCCCTATGGAGCCACGAAGCGTCTGGGGTGTGTGCCTAGTTGGATGCGGATACGCCATGCGGACTGTGCCGCTGGGGCCTTCGGTGGTGGTCCCTATGGGCCGCGACGCGTGTGAGGGGTGTCCCGAATGGGGTGCGGGGTGCGCCGTGCGGACTGTGCCATTGGGTTCTTCGGTGGTGCTTCCCATGGGGCCACGAAGCGTGTGAAGGGTGTGTCATGGTGCGCCGTTCCGGTGGTGGTGATGATGATGATGGTGATGATACTTATGATTATGATGATGGTGGTGATGATGACGATGCTGATGATGCTGCTGCTGATGATGATGGTGATGATGATGATGGTGGTGGTGTTGATGCTGATGATGCTGATGTTGTTGATGTTGAGGATGCTGCTCGTGGTGGTGGTGATGAGGACGATGCTGCTGATGATGATAATGTTGATGGTGGTGGTGGTGGTGATGGTGATGATGCTGCTGACGCTGATGATGCTGCAGGTAGTGGTGATGAGGACGATGATGATGATGATGATGATGATGATGATGGTGATGCTGATGATGATGATGATGGTGATGAGGATGCCGATGAAGATAATTGTGTTGATGACGATGCTGCTGCTGCTGATGATGTTGATGTCGATGTTGATGTTGTTGATGATGAGGTTGGCCATCCTGATGATGACGATGCTGATGATTCGGATGAGGATGCTGATGGGGATGAGGCTGATGATGATGATGATGTTGATGTCGATGTTGATGTTGTTGATGATGCTGCTGCAATGGTGATGAAGATGCTGATTAGGATGCTGATGACGATGATGGTAATGCTGATAGTGATGTTGACTATGATCTTGATGATGGTGATGATGAAGGTGATAATGATCATAATGGTGACGATGGTGATGCTGCTGATGATGATGACGTTGATGCTGATGAGCATTGAGACGCTTATGACGATGATGATTATGATGATGACGATGGCGTTGTTGATGATGATGCGGATGATCATGATGATGATGATGTTGACGTTGGTGCTGATGAGCATTGAGACGCTTATGACGATGATGCTGATGATGATGGTGTTGTTGATGATCATGCGGATGATCATGATGATGATGATGGTGAAGATGATGATGATGATGATGATGATGATGATGATGATGATGATGATGATGATGATGATGATCATGATGATCATGATGATGATGATGATGGTGATGATGATGATGATGGTCATGATGATGATGAGGATGATGACGATGATGATGATGAGGATGATGATGACGATGACGATGATGATGATGATGATGATGATGATGATGATGATGATGATGATGATGATGATGATGATGATGATGATGATGATACTGATGGGAGGAGGGAGGGGAAGGAGGGAGGAAGGATGAGAATGGAACGCGGGGCGCTGTCTCTACAAAACGCGGACCCGACACCACAGCATGAATTCGGGAAAAACCTGCCCTCTGCCACTGCCGCCATTCTCGCACGTGCGGGTCCAAGCATTAGCCGACAGCGGTCGGCATCCACTTCGCCTTCCCAACACGACCAGCAGCGAACCCCCTGCTGCCATTCCCTGCCCTCCTCGCAGCTGCTGTGCAGAGCGGGGTGGCGGCCGGCCCTAACTTCGCATTGAGAGCACGTTGCAACACCATTTACTCGTTTCGCCTATTCGCCTCAAGTTCACCTCGATCTAGCCAGCCTCACCACCAGAGCACGACGTCCCTGGCGACGAGTTCCCATTCAAGCGTCACCTCGAGGTATCGAGGTGTGGATCGGGCCCAATGATCTGATAAGCCAAAAGGAGCCCACGGATGGAGCAAAAACACGTGCGTTTGAGCAGACGAGGAGGAGGAGGAGGAGGAGGAGGAGGAGGACCAGTGTAAAACCAAGAGTCATCAACGATATTGGAATCAACCCTCCATCCAAGCTCCCCGCTCTTCATGAGCCCCCACAACGGTTCATTTCCATTGAGGGAAGTGCCTCGTTGGAAGACAACCGTTTGAAGATCCTGAAGCATGCCAAAACATTGTTCTCGTGATTTCAACGCCACGCATGCTGCGTTTTGACGATCCGGAATCGTGACAAGGCGTCGTTTTGGGGACTTAACACCGCGAATCAACATAACTGTTGCACCCGCGTAATCCTGAATCCTTCCACAACACCATGTCTGGTACGTTGGTCATGGGATCCCGTGAAACTCCTGTAATTTTTTGAAAGCGAATGTGCGCGGCGCTGAGACGAGAGCCACATTTTGAAAATGACCCGCCCTCCATCCGTGAAGCTCTTGCAAATGTTGAAAGCGAATGTGCGCGGCGCTCATGCGAGAGCCACATTTTGAAAACGACCCGCCCTCCATCCGAGAAGATTTTGCGAATTTTGGCATGTGCGCGGCGCTCATGCGAGAGCCACATTTTGAAAATGACCCCCCTCAATCCGTGAAACTCTTGCATACTTTGATAACGAATGTGCGCGGCGCTGAGACGAGATCCACATTTTGAAAATGACCCGCCCTCCATCCGTGAAACTCTTGCAAATGTTGAAAGCGAATGTGCGCGGCGCTCATGCGAGAGCCACATTTTGAAAAACACCCGCCCTCAATCCGTGACGTGAAACTCTTGCAAATGTTGAAAACGAATGTGCGCGGCGCTAAGGCGAGAGCCACATTTTGAAAACGACCCGCCCTCCATCTGTGAAGCTGTTGTCACTTTCTAGGCATCAGAGTCATAAATTATGAGGAAGTCTCAGGCGAAACGCCAGGCCCGCCCTAAAAACTGGCCTCGGGGTGCGACAGGGAGGAGTTATCTATAAAGGAGACGGAATGGAGGAGCAGGAGGAGGAGGAGGAGGAGGAGGAGGAGGAGGATTTTTCCTCGCGCTAAACTGTTTCCTGGCTTGAAGCAGGGGCCAGAGACAAGCGAGCCAATGGCTATGGCTCGGGGGCACATGCCCCGAAGACCTGAGCTACGCGGGGCCCGTGCGCGATTCTCATCTCGCTCTGGCCGCACTTGGGGTGCTTGCCCTGAAGGAAGCGGCGCATCTTGTGCTGGACAGCTTCATTACGTTGCCAGCCGGCCACACCGAAGCTGGGGCAAGCTTTACCCAGGAGGAGGAGGAGGAGGAAGAAGAGGAGGAGGAAGAGGAGGAGGAGGAGGAGGAGGGAGGAGGGCAAGGGAGGAGGGCAGAGGAGGAAGAGGAGGAGGCGGAGGCGGAGGCAGGAGGAGGAGGCAGGAGGAGGAGGAGGAAGAGAGAGGAGGGAGGAGGTGGGAGGTGGGAGGGCGAGGGTTGACGGGAACGGCGCCTCCTGCCCCAGAGGCAGCGATCGAGGGGCACCAGTCGTCGGGCGCGGGGAGGAGAGGGCGGCGCAGCGGCCGTGGCCATGATGGTCGTGGTGGCACCGAGGGGTGGGCCGAAGAAGAACGATGACACTAAGACAGCCCTCGGAGGTCTGCGCCGATGTCTTGGATCGGCGACTCCAGCGCCGCCCCTGGCGCGCGCCGGGGAGGGGCTTCCAGCGCCGCTCCGAGAGGTGCTCAGTGACGTCCGACAGGTTGTGCTCATGCCGTTCAGCTTGCTCCTCTGGCGAAGGTGGTGGGTGAGGCTCGCGGTGTTTCTGCCAGTGGCGGGGAGCCGGTGTTGGCGCTGATTGTGGGGTGGCGGGGGGGAGGAGCAGGGAGGAGTGGTTGGGGGAGGAGGGAGAAAAGGGCAGGAGGAGAAGGGGAATAGGACGAGGACAGAGGACGATGAGAGAGGACGAGTATAGAGTGGAAGCGGTGCCGGCGCTGGTGGCGGGGTGCTCTTCAGCGTCCCCGACTGCGGCGGTAGCCCTTCTGCTCTGCGCTGGCGCGCGCGGCAGCTGGCGGTGGCAGCAGCGGTGGTGCCAGCTTAGCGCACGAGCGCACGCAGCAGCGTCTCGGCAGTGCTCCTCCAATTCCTCCTCTTGCTGCTCCTCCTCCTCCTCCTCCTCCTCCAGCTCTTCCCGCACTCCTCCTCCCCCCTCCTCACTCACTCACTCACTCACTCACTCACTCACTCACTCACTCACTCACTCACTCACTCACTCACTCACTCACTCACTCACTCTCCCTACACCTCCTCATTCTTTCCCTCCTCCTCCTCCTCCTCCTCCTCGTCTTCCTCCTCCCTTTCCTCCTCCCACCTCTCCCCCCTCTTCCCTCCTCCCTGCCCTTTCTTCTTCTCCTCCTCCTCCTCCTCCTCCCTCATCATCCGCCTCCTCCTTCTCCTCCGCTATGTTCCCAGTGCTCCTCCTCACACCTCCTCCTCCTCATCGGTCCTCCTCTCCTCCTCCTCCTCCTCCTCCTCCTCCTCCTCCTCCTGCTCGTCCTTGTCCTCATCTCCTCCTTTTCCTCCTCCTCCTCCTCCTCCTCCTCCTCCTCTTCCCACTCCGCACTCCGCACTCATTCCCCTCTTCCAGGCTCCTCCTCTCTCCGTCTCATGTTCCTGCTCTTGTTTGTCCTCGTTTCTTCTTACCCTCCCCCCTCCTTCTCCCTCCCCATTCCTCTCATCCTCCTCTTCCTTTTCGTCTTTCTTCGGTTCCTGCCTACCCCTCTCCGCGTCCCTCTTTTGTCCTCCTCCTCCTCGTCTTCCTCCTCTTCCTCCTCCTCCTCCTCTTCCTCCTCCTCCTCCTGCCCCTCCTCCCTCTCCTCTCTCTCTCTTCCCTCCTCCTTCCTCCTCTTCCCCCTACTTTCCTCCCCGTCCCACAGCTGCCAGCCAGCCGAGGTGGCTCGAGGCGCGGGTGGCGGAGGGCAACCAGGACCCGCCATCGCGACGCGGCCTGCGGCGACCGAGGAAGAGGAGCGGGAGGAGGAGGAGGAGGAGGAGGAGGAGGAGGAGGAGGAGCAGGAGTTGGAGCAGGAGCAGGAGCAGGAGCGGGAGCGGGAGCAGGAGCGGGAGCGGGAGGAGCAGGAGGAGGAGGAGGAGGAGCAGGAGGAGGAGGAGGAGGAGAAGGAGAAATCAACGGAGGAGGAGGAGGAGGCGGAAGAGGAGGAGGAGGAGAGTGAAGCGAAGGAGGGCGAGGAAATGCTCGACTCATAGGGTAGGGAGGAGGAGGAGGAGGAGGAGGAGGAGGAGGAGGAGGAGGAGGAGGAGCAGGAAGCGCAGCAGAAGGATGATGAGGAACAATAGTCCGGATGATTCTAATTTGAAGGTTGTGATATCGCAGCGATGCTGTTAGGCACCCTCCCATTCCAAATCCCTTCCTCGACAGTCCTACAACCATTGCCTTTTGCTGCGAGACGCGCCCCCTTGAAGTGAAGAGCGACCGATTGGCCTGTCATTCCAGCAAGGACCCCGTTTCTTCCGTTTTGATCTCTCTGTTTGTGTTTCTTTTATATTACTCTCTTTCTCTCTTCTCTCTCTCTCTCTCTTTCTCTCTCCCTCTCTCGGTAACTATGTGTTTGCTATGTATCTCTCGCTGTCTCTCTCTCTCTCTCTCTCCTTCTATCTCTCTCTCTCTCTCCTTCTATCTCTCTCTCTCTCTCTCTCTCCCTCATTTCCCCCCCCCATTCCATTCCCCTGGCCTCTCCCCTTCCCTGCCTACCCCCTCTTTCGTCGCCCCCCCTCACACACCTATATCCCTCGCCGGCTTCTCCTCCTGCAGTCATTCCGTCTATTTAGCTTCTCCGCATTTCAAATCCCCGCTGGGGGCTCGCCCAACCTCATTCGCACGCTTCCCCTCACCCCTTTCGCCCTCTTCCTCATCCTCACTATCCTTTCTCACACTCCCCGTTCCCTTCTAAGTTACGCCAACCCTGCAAGGAGGACCACTTGCATAAACATGAGGTTTCGGATGCCCGCGTGAAATTCTTGAATCGGCGCTGTGTCCCCCTGGCGGCGCCTCGGGCGCCGCCCCTGGCGGGCTCCGCGCGCCAGGAGGGGGAGGGCAGCGGCGATCGAAAAAGTCCGCGTGGACTTCCTAAACTCAGATGTTCATGCAGATATGCTTTTCGTTCAACCCCTCCTGCCTCCTCCTCCTCCTCCTCCTCCTCCTCCTCCTCCTCTTCGTGCTCCCTTCCACTATCGGCGCCCCTCCTCCCGCCGCGGAGTTCGAGGACCCCTCCCTGCACAGTGGTATCTTGCCGTCGATGCACTGTCGATCCTCCCTCCTTTCTCAACCTCCTCTCTTCGCCCTCGGTGCTCCCTCTCCGCGCCGCGGCGCTTGAGGACCCCTACCTGCACAACGGCATCGCGATGATCTACATCGACACGAACCGCGACCCCGAGCAGTTCCTGAAGACCAACGCCTTCTACGACTCCGCCATCGTCGGGAAGTACTGCGAGGACCTCGGCGAAGGGAGGGGGGGGGGAGGCAGGGAGGCCCGCCAGGCGAGCCCCCCCCGCCCCACCTCCTGCGCGTCGTGCTCGAGCCGCACGACGGGAGGTTCTCTGGGCCGCTATTTCGGCCTCCTGGGGGCCCTCGCTGGGCTTGTGGACGACGATCAACGGAGAGGAAGCATGTTGCCAAATCATTTCCATATGTATGCAACATGTTTCAAACATGTCTTAACCTAAAGACATGTTCTTTTACATGCTCATAACATGTTCCAATCAATTGAATTCAATGATCTCATTGTTAGGGCGTCCCTTGCCATGGCATCCACCACAACATTGGGCCCTGGGACCGTTAGAAAACGACCCGGGATGCAGTACCGTTCCCGGTGGAGGTGCCCTCTTTTGAACCCCGGCGCGCTTGGTTTTTTGCCAGTTCGCTTCGTCCGCTCGTTCTCGCGTGACGGCTCGTCGCTCGGTTCCCGCTCGTCCCCTCGGTGTTCTTCCTCCTCCTCCACCTCCTCCTCCTCCTCCTCCTCCTCTACCCTCCTCCTCTATCCTCCTCCTCGATCCTCCCCCTCCTCGTTCCTCCTCCTCCTCCTCCCCCTCCTCGTTCCTCCTCCTCCTCCTCCTCATCCTCCTCCTCCCCCTCCTTTTCCTCCTCCTCCCCCTCCTTTTCCTCCTCCTCCTCCTCCTCCCTCAAGCTAATTGGGCTCGAGCGGTGGCGGTGCCCCAGCGGGCGCCCTCCCACCTCCAGAGCTCGCCTCTGGGTTTCCACGCAGCACTTGAGGGACTGTGGTCTTTCACACAGTCAGATTTGACAGGCCATCGACCAACACAGAGGCAGTTTCAGCGATGGTGGCTCTGTGGAGCCGTTGCAGCGAGTGCAACACATGCGAGTGGAATAATGAAGATCCTGCAGAGGCGCCAGCTCAAGTGTGCAGGATGTGGCTACAAGGTTTAGCTGTCCTGCCCCAAGTCCAAGGCCCGCTTCATCGACCACCAGGAGAAGGGCTGCGACGACGACGTGTGGTTCGACGTGGACAGCGGCAGCGAGTCCGAGGGGGTGAGGAAGCCACTTCCAGCAGGCATCCTCCGCACGTCTCGGGAGCGCGCAGCCTGCCCTGGAGGCAAGCGCAGCGGCGGCGGCAAACGCAAGGCCCCCTCGGTCCAGGAGCTCCTGCAGCAGGCCGTCGCCTCGGCTAAGGACACGCAGCTCCAGACCGACCTCCAGGCTCAGCTGGACAAGCTCAGCAAGGGGGACATCACCTCCACGCCAAAGGTGACCGTGTCCGAGGAGTTCAGGCGGGCTGCCGGAGCATGGCACGACGCTGAACATCGGCACCAGCAAGCGGTGGCGAACGTGGTTCGCTTACGCAGCAATCTGACGGCTGTGGAGGCGAAGGAGAAGACAGCGGCCCTGGTATTGGCGGAGGCGGCGGACAGCAAGCTCCTGGCAGCCCAGGCGGTCGCCAAGGCTGAGGGAGCGAAGGTCGACGACGCCGCTGCCGGCGACAAGAGCCAGGACAAACCCATGATCAGCGTGAAATGGGATGAGTCCTTCTTCGACAACCCCGTCAACCTGGAGGCTACGGAGGCGGAGAAGACAGCGCTGACGGGACTACGTGACCAACTTAAGAGCGCGAAAGCTCATCTCCAAGGCAAAGAGGAGGATATCCAGCAGTGGTTGCAGAAAGTCCAGACACACCGGAATATCGAAGAGCGGCTCGCCAAGAAGAGGCGCCAGGCCTTTCCAGACGACCCCATCGGGCGCCGCGAGAACGGCAGGCGGGCCGCGCCCCCCGCTAGCCGACGCTCCAGCGGCCGAGGGCGCAGCCGCCTCGCCTGCCGCGGGCCGAGAGGCCAAGGCGGCGGAGCCAGGCGATCGCCGGGCCAGGCTGACCCAGGAGGCGGAGCGGCTGTCGCAGGCCAAGTTCCAGGCGGAGGCGCTGAAGAGCAAGGCCAGCGGCAAAGGCGCGGCGGCCACGGCGGGCGCGGGGCGGAGCAGGCGCCTGGCGGTGGCGACGCGGCCAGTTCGTGACGAGGTTTTTGTCCACGGCACTATGAGGAGGGTGCCGATCCAGGCGAGAATGGGAAGATCACCAAGCTGTTCTACGGCAGTGCCACCAGCCTCTCGGACAAGACGAGGAAGTTCATCGAATCCGAGTCCAGAGTGTATGAGTATTGGGCCCTCGTCGAGACTCACGTTGCAGCGCAGCCGGAGATGCGAGGGTGGGATGCTAAGAGTCGTTGGTTGAGACTCCGCATGCGTCATGATCCTGCGCGCAGCTCTGGTAAAGTAGTTAGCTCGAAGAAACAAGCCCGCTCAAACGAAGGGGGCGGACTTCTCTGGTCAACGCCCACCTTCAAGCGCGCGATGTGCAGGAGGTGCGGGCAGCGGCACGCCATTTCAGGGAAAGTACACAGTCTGCCCTTGATGGGTGCTTGCCCGTGACGTTGCATTTTCAGGTTATTCAATGGTGCTCATTGTGCTGTATGGCCATCCGTCCATTGCCATGATTTCTGACAGTCGCATTCGGTTTCAGCGCATAGTCGCGCTTGCCAAGTCTCTCAAGATGCCATGGGTCATGGTAGGCGACTTCAACATGGTCCCACTTGTCTTGCGTCGTTTCGAATCTCCACAGCGTCTGGATGCCGTCATTCGCACAGCAGACGTCGAGGGCACTTGTGCGCAAAGAAGAGGGCCCAGACGCCACGTTCGATTATATTATGTGCTCGCAGTCAGCACTTGCGCTTGTGAAGCATATCGAGGCTGTTCGCGCGGTGCCGTGGCGTGCTCACTTGGGGCTTGTGGTCCACTGTCGGAGCTCGGGGCTGCGTCTGCGCACCAGGGTGGTGGAGTTCCCGCGCAAGCTTCCACGGGCTCCGAGTCCCAAGCAGGACCCCACACCAGGCTCTAAGTCTAGTCTGGCCAGGACGCAACGGTCACTCGCGCGGGTCGTGTCTCAGGAAAAGCGGCCCGTGCTGTACGACGCCTTTTTTGATGATTGTTTCCAGGGGTCTAGGAGTTCTCGGCCCCTCCCGGGCGGTGATGAAGCTCCCGATGGGCCCCTGGAAGTAAGATGCGATGATGAGTTAGCTGCCTGGCCCGGGGAGGGGGGGGATCCTTGGGCCGAGGAGCTTAATTTTTGTAGGGGTAGCATGCTAACGACTGCTCAGGAAAATCCGTCGGCCCCTGCCCTGGCCCCGTCGGCCGCTGGTGGGCCCGTGGGCCCTGCGGGGTCGCTCTCGGAGTCGGTGGGGCCGCCTCCCAGACGTAGTGAGCAGAGCAGCATAGCAGCTACGTAGAAGTCCCACCTGTCAATGGTTCCAGCAATGGTCAGACTCAGCGCCCAGCCTTGGAGGCATCTCAACCTGACGGTGTCGAGTTTAACGTTCTCCCCAAATGTTGGGGAAGGGCCAGGCTCCAGGTGGGATTTACCCCGGGTGCTTCTCCTGTCTCTTCCGTCCCCCCTCTGCTGCTGAGGTCCGTAGCCTTCAGGCTTAAGCCTCAAGCTAGCTCGACGGCGTCTGGTCGGTGCGCCTCATGGGCCGCCGCCGCTGAGTCGGCTATCCTGGAACACCGCGGGAAGCAGGCCCCTCCTGGCATCTCTCGATCAGAGGGTCCTAGGTTGTCCGTGAGAGAGCTTCGGCAGACACTTCACATTCGAGAGCTACCACTGCGGGGTCAGAGGAGCCAGTGGTGGGCGAGACTACACGCGGTGCTGAGGGGCCTCCACAGGCACAGGAGTCGCGAGAACGGGCCCAAACAGGCGAGGCAGTTCGAGGAGGCTTGCGCGCGCCTGCACGGAGCCAGGCCCGAGGCAGTCCAATTCATCCTCAGGGAAGGGCGCGATCCACCGTGGGCGAAGTGGCTGGAGCTGCTGCTGCGCCCGAGTGAGTTCCGCCTGGTCGCGCTTGACTCCTTCGTCGACTCGGTGAGGAGGGTCATGGAACGCGCTCGACGGGCTGCTCTACATGAGTCGCTGGCTGAGTTCAGAGAATGGATCACGGAGCCGACAGCACCAGGCATCTTACATGGATCCCTGAAGCTGCAACCTCTTCCACAACATAAAGTTATTGTTGAAGATTCAGTTTTGTTTCATCATATTAATGTTATCGACGGTAAGCAAAAGGCGTTCAAGAATCTTTGGGCGCCCAAGGAGCTGGGCGAGGCGGCAGTGGTTGAGATTTTCGAATGATTGGCGAGGAGGCGGCGATTCAGCCACTTCCACCAATCTCGGGGAACGGCGTATACTGTTGCGCTGCCAAGGTGAAGAGGAATGCAGGGTTGGGGGTGGATGTGTTCACCCCCGTCGACTATCAGAGGCCCCCCTGGCAGGCCATCGAGGAGCTCGCGCCGGTGCTCCAGGCAGCCGAGTCCACCATGACGCGGCCAGTGCAGCTAGCTCATGATGGTGCTCTGCCGTCTTCTGCCCAAGAAGACGGCAGGGGATCGGGCCATCGGCATCGCCCCCATGTTGGGGCGGCTGTGCTCCTTGATCAGGGAGCCAATTGCCAAGGACTGGTCACGAGCTAACGTCGCAGCGTGGGGTGCCGCCATCGAGGGCAACTCACGCCTGCAGGAGGCCTACCTCAGGGCCATCGGCGAGGAGCTGGCCCACACCATGGGCATCTGCTTCGGGCAGGCGCTGACGGACATCCAGGAGTTCTACGACTCCATCCCCTGGGATGCCCTGGCGCGGGGAGCTCTGCGCATGGGCTTCCCTCTCGTCGTGCTTGGGCTGGAGCCCCTTCAGCGCGTGGACTGCAGGTGATTGCTCCAGGACGGCGCGACCCCGGTGCCTTTTCAGCCGGGCCGCAGCGTCGTCCAGGGGCTCAGGGCTGGCACGCGCTTTGCGCGCATCGTGACCTACTGCGCGATGAGGCAGGTCACCACCGCCAGCCGGCACATGGGTCACCGCCTCTGGATCGACGACGTGTCCCAGACGGCGGTCGGGCCCAGGCAGGCGGCGCGCAAGAGTTTGGTCAAGTGTATCGTGAACGCGGGG